CGTAGTAAATACTAAATTATTTGGATTAATACGTGTTGATTTTTAAAATACATGTTGATTTTTAAAAATACTGATTTTTGATAGAAAAAAATGTTTCCTTTTGTCAATTTAATAAAAATAATTTGCACATTCCTGGTTTATTTCGTATGTTGGTTGATAGGTTAATTTAAATTTAAATAGGTAGCACTGTATATTATGATGCATTGACATATATTAAAATATTATACGACCTTGTCATTTAGACTCATAACAAGGACTATATATTATGGTCTTCATGCCTTAGAAATTAGAATATAACTGAATATACTTTATTAATATGGGAGTCATTTAAAAAACAAATGTTTGACCAATTAATTATGCGTCATCTTTCTGACGAGTACTTATTAATATTGATCTCAATTTTATTAATCTATGACAACATTTTTAAATTGTAAATTTTAAATTTAACAACTTGTACATTTATTTAAATCAATATACGTCTTATAATATTATTGATTACCTATTCTTCAATTTTTTCCTTGAAAATAATTGTTTTGAAAATCAATTTATTATTTCTAAGTTATTTTATATAATACCAAAATTGTGTTTAAAAGATAAATTAAAATTTGAAAATTATTTGAGAACTTTATTTATGATACCACACTCGGATGGACTGTGTAAATTATTGTTGGATGGGTATTTCCACCACTAATAAATAAATATTTCACTCATAATATTGAATAGATTTAGTCCACGGTCTTAGTGTTTCATTTTTAAAATTTTTACAATATTGGATGTGATAACAACACATCCGAACACTTATACAGCAGATGGTAAACTACGTCATACTTAGTACCCATGAACAAATTGATTTTCTAACATTTTATAATGACATACCTGACAGTTTATCGTACCCATTTAACCATTTCGTCGAAATCAAATCCTTTCTATTGTATTCTAAATAAATAATTCGTATCTTTAACAGTGCCTAGTAGTATAGTAATAAAGTACTTTGTACTAGCTCAATTTCGATGAAATCAAACAGTTATAACATAAACTAGTCTTATATTTACAATAACATACTATTTTAAATTAAAATATTTCCAGTACACTTTCTACATCGGCAACCGACAAAACGCATAGTGTGTTCCGGCACTTAGGTATAGACTAAAGTAGTGACATAACTGCGAATGACTTAATTTTATGCAATATACCAATTATTCTAAAAATTCTACTTAGGATTTTTTTTAAATTATGAATTAGTGCCTGACATATAACTAACAATTTACCTAATTGCATTAGTGTAGCAGTAATACCAATAAATTCCATGATTTATGTAAGAAAAAAAAGATTTACTTCATTCGAAAATTCGAAATATCGTTACACTAATGACAAACCGCGTACCTATCTGACATTTTATATAATATAACGAGCTGAATTACCCGTCGTTTCCAAGTTTTTATTTTTTATTTTTTTAAAGCAATATTTACAATCTATACCTACAACAAGTAGTACAATAAGTAAATTTGATAAAGTAGTATAATACATAACTTGATGACTTGAGGGGGGAAACCCGTCCATCAACAGTACCTCCTAATAATGGCGTGGGTTCTCAATGGAGACCATTTTTCTTTTCTTTTTTTTTATTGTATTAGGAAAGTTTTCCAGGTTTAAGTAAAAATTGTGGGTTTTCCTGAGTATTTGGAATCAAACTGCCGTACAAATGGTAGACTTGGCCTTGCACTTTAAATGTTGGCATAAAACCTTCTAAAACAATCTGTTTAGCACCAAACGAAGTCATTTGAAAACAACTATTATATTTCCTAGTACGATTAATGAAGTGATCATGATCAGGATGGTCTCCCTCAAGTAAACTGTGTAATGGTTCCGTTGGCGGCTGTGAGGGATCGAGTTGTGTTTTACCTATATTACAGCACATACCAGGAGTTTCGCCTTTCCACTTGAGAGCGTTACAAAAATTACATTTTTGGTTCATAGTGCCAATGTTATTTTTATAATCATATTGTGGGATTATATGCTAGACCAGATAATTTCTTAATTTTCCAATTGCGTAAATAAATTTTAGTCGGAAACCCTAAAGTTTCTTGATGTTTGATTGCTTTGTAATTTGTTATAGCTTTCTTAACTTGGTTGATTTGAGTTTTATCTGTATATATAATTTTATTTTTATTTTTCTTACTATTTTCTGTGACACAAACATTATTAAAAACAGATAAATCGCCTTCTGAAGTAGTAATTAAATTTATTGTAACATTATGAATATTAGGAATATATAAATAAACATCAAAATTACTACTATCAATATTTACAGTTCAACGCAATCTTTTTACTGGGAATGCATCTACACCAAATTTAGCATACAGATTATTATTATAATACATTTCAAATAAAAATGGGAAAATATTTTCAACTGCAACCAATTCGCAATAACCACCGTAGACAGTAGGATTGACCATTTCACGAACATAAGCCTCAGCAGTGGAAAAGTTGTCACCGTTTGAATTAATAAAGTTATTCCAATTATCAGACACATACGAAACAATTATATTTCGATTATAATATGTAAAAATTAAACTGTAAAAACTATACAAAAACCATTTTTATGAAAAAATAATGTAAACATTGTCAGCCAATGGCCACCGCTGCCGAGGCTTATTCTAATAAAAAAAAAAAATTGTATTTCGGATCTCCTGGCGTCTTTCTTGATTGTTAAATAAATGAAATGAAATTGTACTGAAAAGGCAGGCACCATCACACGAATGGATATTCGCAGGAAAAAATATTTTGTGTCCGTATATAATATTGCCTACATTTAGCCCCTTTTTTGCAGTTGATACTGTTGATTTGCACCCAGATAGCAATTGTGTAATGATATTATTATTATTACAGTACACAAATATTGTTTTAAAAATAATGTTATTAAAATAACATAACTATTCAACTAACATAATATTATTTTATAGATATTAAAATAAAATTATTTTTTATGTATGGTAATAATAATATTATTTAACAAATATAATAATCAAGCTATTAGGTTTTGATTCGTTTGTAAGTATAGATACTATACTACCATCTATACTGCTTTCTATTCAAAGGGTATTAAATTATGTTCGAGATTCATAATAATTATAATAATATACTTTCTTTAATAGCTTGATTATTAAATTTGTTAAATATTATTATTACCACACATAAAAAATAATTTTATTATAATATCTATAAAATAATATTATGTTAGTTGAATAGTTATGTTATTTTAATAACATTATTTTTTACATTTATACTGTATTCTCAATGAATTATGTATTTTTAAATTTTAAATTACGATATTGTGTTTTTTAATAACTTATTAACTACTAATGTATTTAACTATTTTAATTATAATTAATATAATAAAATATAATATTGTAATTTATAATTTATAATGAAAATGATGTTATCGGTTTATCAATGTTATCTTATCACATTTTGAAAACCTCAAAAAAGGGGCTAAATGTATGCAATATTATATACGGACACAACAAATTTTTTCCTGCGAAGATCCATTCGTACCATCACCGATAATTGGTACAACTATTTGAGGTGTAAACAATCCATTGACAAAAATGTCTTCAATCGATGACATTTTTAAAACAAATATTCAAACAATTAAATTGAATAAATATAATATTTTAAATAATTTTCCAACGTGTTCACTTTCCTTTATATATACAGATTATTATAAAATATATAATATATATCAATACTATATTATTATTATTATATTTTTTTACCAATTTCAACCTTTTAAAATCAAAATTTTGAAAAATCCTTTCTTAGTGCCCGATGAAATTATTATAAAAATCTATCCTCGAAATTTCAAGTCGATAGCTCAAGTAGGTTCGGCTCTGCGTTGATTATTGGTAAAGTACTGCACTTTCCTTTATATATACAGATGAGTTTTTGGTATCAAAATATTAAAAGTGAAACCAGTATAGTAGGTGTATTATAAGAAAAAGTCCTTCGATTTTCATCAACAGCCTGGGTAGTGGTTTCTGGTAGGAAAGTGATCCAAATTGGTACTTTAGTTTTCAAAAGTGGCAAGAAAAACAAAGAAAAAAGTTCATAAAATGTTTTCTTTTTATATCTAAGATTTTAAAATTGCATACAAGATTCCTTAAAAGTTTGTCTGCTTTTATCAAAAAAAAAATTTCTACTGGAAAGTCAAATTAATTTAATTAATTAATTTTTATGTGAGCACGTTTGAAACTTTTACATCATTAGATATTCACTCGAAATTTATGAGGAATTATTTTAAATTTTCAAATCTTTGCTAAATAAGACATTTTTTATGGATTTCAAACTAAAAATTATTGTGGAATAAAAGTAAGCTTAACTTTTTTTTAATCTCCATAAACAACAATTTATGATTAACCTTGTATTAAATTTATTTGTATTTTGACAGAGTGGAACATTTTTAATCGACAATAATTTAAAAAAACGTATACAACTCGAAATGTTCTTATATGTCTATAAAGATCCCAAAAAAATCAAATCAATTTTTCGTTTAATTTTAGTGTACACACAAAAAAAAAAATGAAAATACATCATTGTAGAAACTATACTCGTACATTCATCCGTTTAGAATCATAAATGTATTTAAATATTTGTTCAGCTAAAACTAAAAATAAATTATTATAGATAGGTAGATTACATTTACATTATGTGGATGCTTTGATTTGCAGCTAATTATTAAAATTAAAAAAAAGGTAGAACGAGGGGGGGCCTTGATGTACGATGTCCTAGTATATTTTAAACACTGGCACCAATGCCAATAAATATAGTTAGGATTTTTGGAAAAATGAGTCTTGTGGAATAAAAATGTATTGGAAGTATTGGCTAATGGCATAAACAGGTAGAGGAACAAAACTACTTTGGAATAACTATTTTGTGGTACAAAAGGTAGTGGTCCCTAACCACCATTATTAATCACTCAATCATGTTCTTTAGATCAAAATGGACTGATGATTTTGATAACGCATTCTTTTTAATGTATCTATTTTCTCATAGGCATTTGTCTTGTGTGAAAAGCATTGTTAATTTTTCAATAAAAAATACGTTTATAATCAACCCATTCACAGAAGTACTTGACCAGTAAGCTTGTAACTTAAAGTCACGACAGTCGTCAATACATAATGCCTAAAAATAAAGGTAAGTAAATCGTTCGGTTACCCAATCCAATGTTTTTGGCATCTATAATTTACATTGTTTCCTTTTACGTATTAATATTGTTTTTTTGCGTCCCCAGGAAAGGGAGGTAAAAACCGTAGGCGTGGTAAAAACGAAAATGAAACCGAGAAGCGTGAATTGGTGTTCAAAGAAGATGGCCAAGGTAATAATATTTTATCAAATATTTGGCGAATGTTATATGTTATGCCTTTAAAATGATTTCTAGTAAAGTAATTTAGGATAAAATATAATGCTTAATGGTATTAATAGTACTAAGAATAAACATATGCACTTATGCACGTTTAATGAGGCAGTATTGTTTCTATGTAAATATTATATAGAAATATCAAATATCAAAGTATAAAAATAAATATTGATACATGTTGTAACCTTGGAATTTTGTTTTCACAAACATTGAACAATTAGATGATTACCTCAGATTTAAATAATGTATTATACAATCATTTTAAATAAAATATAGTTTTAGTTTTACTGAATAACAGAAATATTTAAAACATTTAAATATATTTATCGATCCAGATTAAAATAGTAGTTTTCCATTTGAGACATTTGTCAGACTTTATAGCAACAAGTTCCCAACTCTTCCAACTTTCACTTACTTTCAGTATATAGTAATCTAAATACATTAGATATATTTAAAAAGAGATAATGGGGGCGTGGTCGTGGTGGTTAGCCACAGTCACCCACGTGTGCAGTAGTCAAGCGCTGTTCGGAGTCGCAGGCTCCTGGATGGAGGACATCCGAGTCCTTGGCAATAAATCTTTGCCCCACATAAAAACAAGTGTTCTTCAAGCAATCATAACTCCCCACACAAAGTTGCCAAAGCCCAAAGACTTCTTTAACGTATTTATAAACTTGAAAAAATAAAACACGTAACTAAAATAAATTTAACACAAAATGGCTAGTCTCAATTCGACAGTATTTTTACAATTAAAAATAGGAAAGTGACAACATGAAAAGCAAAGTATTAAATATTGTAAAATTCCAAAAGTAATGTCATAGGTACTTCATAGTACTTACTCTCTGTATAAAATCATAATTTTTTTAATTTTAGTTTCTGAGACAGTGGCAGATCCAAGGGATAGAGATGGGGTGTTATGGGGTAAATCCACCCCCCCATTGAGCTTATTATATAATTATGTACCTACTACACAAAAGAAAAGTGATATTAAAAAGTATGTTATTAAGTTTGGATAGTATCTGTTGGATACATTTTAGTTACCCCTCCCTTTTTGGTCAATTTCTGGATCAACCCCTCATCTGAGAGGATGGGACCCCTTGGTCCAAGATAAAGACTACATAACAAAGTAGAACTTAATAACTTTGTAAATTTGTTGATACTTCCCAAATTGAAAATAGTGAATTACTGTAGATTGTAGAATGTTGTTTAATTTAGGGATTCCTTCCTAATGTAGACTTATTGTCTTATTACGACTAACAATTTTCCAAACACTTTATTTTAATAAAATGTATAGTAATTAATTACTATAGTTATCGAAATATTACTGTTGTTTTGTTTAATTAATTAGCTAAAGTCTCAAAAATGACTATTATACATTAATTATTTGATTTAATAATTGTACTTACTTTCTTATTTTAACAACAATCAAAGTATAACACATTTGCCACTTGCTTTGATATTATATACAGTATAATACACTAAGCATGGGTTTACACATTCAAATACATAATTGGAAGAAAGGAATGTTCATCAATATAATATGATTGAGGTTGTGGATTTAGTATGTCCAGCGCCTATTAATATAAGTCAAAACGTAGTTTTATTTACGTTTAACAAGAACATAAACCATGACTTACACTTTTGTATACTATAGGAAGGCCGATGGGCAACTCAAAGTTACTAGAGGGCCAATTTTTAGAACTATAAAATCTAGTGGGCTAGATTGTAGATAACATTTTTAATGAAATATGGAAATTCAATGAAACATTGTAAAAGTAGACATGTTTTAATAAAGCACACGTCAATCTCTTTTGTGGATAAAATTGGATTTGTTTGCAAATCACTTATGTCTGACTAAAGTGATGTATCTTGCTTTGTAATGTCTTCTGCCATTGAATTATTGTTATGAATTTATCATCTACAAACATTGAAACAATGTAATTTACAAATACAGATGAACGGTTAAATTGTTTGAAGTAATTTGCAAATTTAGCAAAGGCCTAAAACAGGTACCCAGGCTTCCTGTTTCTCATCACTGGTTTATTATAAAATGTATTTTGTATAGGTGCGAGTAACTATGCAGTAGTTTTAACGAAACAATGCATGTGCACATGATGACGATCATGAGATTAATGGATGTGACGTATATATCTTTAGATTTAACATTAAGCAATGTAATCATCATACATTAAGGTACGCCTGTACTGTGGGGACACAATTTGTGTGGTTTGACCATTAGTGGTTCTATGAAGAGTGTAGATAAAACTTATTTAAGAGTTGGCTCATATTCAGACGTAAATCAGAGTTATCTCAGACTTTTTATTTAATAATTATTATGGACTTTTCAGAATAAATTAAAAATTGTATTATTTTTGAATATGGAAAAATAACAAGTCATTATTAGTATTTCTTCTGGATTTTAAAAAATATTGAATTGAATTGCTTGGGATATATAATAATATTAAACAGTTGAACTAACACTTAAAATATTTTGATAATATTTCAAATAAGTCTGGTTCTAGTTCCTTTTCAATAACTATTTTTGATTACTATTGGACTTCAACTTTTTACAACTACTACACACTCCCTTTTCCTTCTGATGTTGGCTGTACATTTGGCCACTATACATTCTTTTATTTTTATTTTATTTATCTTTAAATTATTAACATTATTATTTGTTATATTATATTATATTATATTATTCATGATTTGTACAAGAACCTTTTTTTTATACAGAATATGCTCAAGTTACCAAAATGTTGGGAAATGGACGTCTAGAAGCTATGTGCTTTGATGGTGTTAAACGACTTTGCCACATACGAGGAAAACTTAGGAAAAAGGTACTCAATTTTAATTAATATTGTATGTGTTTATATTATTTATACCTAAGAAACTAAGTCTCCCATATTGTTTTCAAATTATCATGCACTATTCTAATTTAATATTAAACACTATTCTCGCTCCTTATTTAATTTTGAATGTGATGTTAAATTTAAGAAAAAAATCAACATACAAACATAGATATTATTCTCACCTTCAAGATTTAAAATAAAATAAGTTTTCTCTAATTGTAAATCTAACAATATAAAATTGATTTTCCTCGATGCAAAATGTTTTATGTACTATTCCTTAGAAGAAAGAGATAAGACACTAAAAAAAAAACACGTACTTAATTTATATAATATTTATTTTGAAATAAAGTATTTTACTAATACTTTTATCATTATTTTATTATTTATGATTAATGTTAATTTATTTGAATACGGTTATTTTATATAATAGAATTTTGATTTTAGGTATGGATTAATCAAGCTGATATAGTATTAATAGGTTTACGTGAATACCAAGACACAAAAGCCGATGTAATTTTGAAGTATACGCCAGATGAAGCTCGTAACTTGAAAACATATGGAGAATTTCCAGAAACTGGTAAAAATAGTTTCATTGATTTATTTAAAAGATATTTAAAATATAATTGACATAAAAATATATTATCTTTAGTTCGCATCAATGACACAGTCACATTCGTTGATGATGGATTGGATGAAGATATTGAATTCGGAGATGACATTAGCGATGATGAAGAAGCAGACAATGCTGTTGATAATGTAAGATCACATTTACACGTATACATCTGTTAAAAATAACAATTAATATTTTCTATTTTAATTTTCAGATTTAAATTTATTTCAAATAGCATGTAAGCTGTAATGGTGATATCATTTGCCTATGAATAAGATTATAATCAACAACAAATTTAAATAAATATAAACTTAACATAATGCTTAATTTATGTATGTCTGTATGTGTTTTGTTCTTCTGATATTGTTTCTCCACTATTTGATATAAATTGAATAAATTTTAATTGTATTAATTCCTTAGAAAAAATATATCATTTATCAAATACAGGTTCCTTTTTATTATAATTATTAGTTAGGTACTGTTTTTTTTTTTTTTTTACGACATTTAAATAAATAAGATACCACATTAATATTTTATTTTATTCAGATAAAAATTCAATAATTTGTTTTGATAAACTATTGGGGCTAACAACTCCAATAAAATATATATTATTACACATTGTGCAATGTGTTTAATAATAAAATAATTAAGAAATACAATTAATATTACACCAATATAAACATTAAACAGTATAAAAACAAAATTTTAAATAAAATATGATCAAAGATCAGTTGACGGTTGAAAGTAAAAGTATAAAAATACCTATAATAAATTAAAGAACTGTAGCTCAACAAAAAAAAGCGGTCAAATGAGTTTTTAAATTCAACAATTCGATGCAAATCAAAGCACCGAAGTAATGCAATGTTTAATCATTTATTTTTAAGTTTTAGCTGAAACACATTGATTGTTAACGGATCAATGAATGTATTAACTTAAGATTTTACAGCGATGGAGGGAAATTTGCTTAAATTATTATTTTGGAAGTTATATTCTTCCCAAGTTGACTATTACGCCTACTCAAAACACTACTTAACTGCCATGCTCATGTCTGTAACAATTTTTTCAATTTTTATTTTTGGAGATTAGTTAAATCAACGTTTTAAAAATTATGGTGAAAATTATTTGCCTGTCAGCTCCGATAACTTTGGAATGAAAAAACTTCCAAAATGATGATTCATATAATAATAACATTTAAATTGTTATGGGTAAGCAAATAATTTAAAAATTAAATAAAAACGATCATTTATAATAGATATTTTAAGTTCAAATTTTGACGAAATTAGATACGTATTTAAAAATTAAAAGTAGAATAATGATTTTAGTAATTTTTGTAATTTAAAAATATCGTACCCATAGCGCAATTAGTTAACTTTTAATCATCCCTAGCTACTGAATGAAGCAATTATGCAAGTAATTAACACCTAAAATAATTTTTAAATTTTAATACAACATTTAGGTATGCTTGTTAATTACAATATTGACCAGAAATAAAATTTATCAAACATTTTTTCAAATTTACCATTTCATCTACTTGACTACTTATAAAAGTTTTCAAAATTATATTTATAATATATAATATACATTATACACCACAATAAAACAATAAGAATTATTAATACTGTAAGTATGGCTTTAGAGTAACAAGTAACAACGAAATAATATAATTATTAATTATGGAACAAGTTTTTATTTAAAAAAAAATGTATCTAACACATTCTTAAAGCTATATTCTTCTATTGGATTTAGGAAAAGTATTTAATATTATTTACTATAACGGCTTTTTTGATATTCAATATTCTTAAAATAACAAAAGAATATTCTCTTGCAGATTATAACCGGGTAGGTAATTTTCATTTTATTTCGGTTTTGTATCATGGTGATGTGGTTATGTTTGAAGGTTAGTACTATTGGTAATTAACTATACATTTTTATTTTGTACATAATTTTATAATTGTATTAAAGACATTGCATAATTATTAAACAAGAAGTTATAATTAAACATTTTAATTTTTGGTTGACTATGAAAATATATTGAATACTTAGTATTGTTCTACAAAAAAAAAATAGTGATCTATAATATAGTAGTAACAATAAGTATACAGTATACTGTATACTTTATAAAACATATAATTATTTAAATAATGTTTATGATGTGGAGTTGTGGACTGTGGTAAGGTTTTATTCTCTTTTCTATGGGCTCAATCAAAGAATTATTGAAGAAAAAGAAAATAACCTAATATTCTCTAGCTTAGAGAATATTCCCTTGAAAGACAATTACGGTAATTTTACATAACTAGTCGTGTTAGCTCTGACATGTTGATCCTTCTCATAGATAAAAAAAGGGAACTAACTAGTTAAGCCCTTAGGCGAATTTTTCAATTTTTTTTTTGGAAACCTATGTAGGTATTTCAACAAGTTTATAACGATGGTGCAGAAACCAATTGGCGGAAACCATTAGTTTTCAAGTTATAGCCTTAAGAGGTTCACAATTTTCTGTGTTTTTTTCATGCGCACAACGCCCTACTGTGACGCGCATATAAAGGTATAAAACATTTTTTCAACTATTTTTTTTGAAAACTGTGTAAATCAGTTTTTAAAACGATGGTGCGAAAATAAATTATTGAAAATCAATTGTTTTTTAGGAATAGGTCAAAAGGTAAAAACAATTTCACTATTAGTATATAATATAGTATTGTAGTGACTTTCTTCGCCTGGCGGCTCCGGTTGCCTGACTCTAGGTCATTCGCTACTTAGTTTACCTGTATACTTAAGTATTAAGAAGTATGATCAACATTCAACACGAAAGCCGTACGTACGAAAGCGATGCTGTGACAGAAGCCAGAGAATAAATGTATATGCGTGACGTCGCCTTGTGTTCATCGTTGATTGCCAGTATATAAATTGTGCATTGCCCCCTATAAAATATGCACAGTTTTATCATAATCATAATCTGTGGTTTTATCACTTTTTATACTTCTTATTTCTATAATCCTAAGCTTACACTAAGCTCTGCGAGACATTATATTAGTATTCCGCGTAAGCGTATTAAGGGGATTCAATACCGTCATTTTCTGTTTTTGTCTAACACACGCGTGACATGGTAATTTAGACGTGTTTTTTGCCAAACATACTAATTGATCTAATGAAGCGATAATAAATCTGAAAACAGATTTGAATTTGTCGTTAAGTCTACTTAAAATCGACTTTCCCACATTTTTATTATTATCCCCCCAAATTCCTAAAAATGTCATATTAATAAAGAGCATTTAAAAATTTTTGTATTTCAATTTTCGGAGAAGTTAAAATCATAAATGTGGGAAAGTCGATTTCAAGTAAACTTGACGAAAAATTCAAATCTGTTTTTAGAATTCTTATCGCTTCATTAGATCAATTGGTATATTTGGCAAAAAACACGTCTAAATTTCTATGTCACGTGTGTGTTAGACAAAAACAGAAAATGACGTTATCGAATCCCCTTAACGTAAAATCGCTAACTTTGGAAGGCTATATACTCCAAAATAATGTTTTTCGACGATTAATTTTTGAGCCATAGTTCTTAAATCGTTTGTAATACGCATATGGGTTTCGGATAAAAAAATTGAAAAATTCTCGTGGGCGCTAAACTAGATTTATGTCAACGTATTTTGCATATTATTATCTATAATCATACTGAAAAATCTTTAAAAAAATGTAGGAAATATTTGGGGGAGGGATTAGCCCCTAACCACCCCCCCCCCCCAAAAAAAAATTTTAGTCTATGATTGTAGGTACCTATATAAGCTGACAGACCGTCTTCGTTCAGATTTCAGAATCGTTTATCGTATACTATGATTTTATAGCACTGCATATAAATATAACACATCCATAAAGTGGCCAACTAAAGTCCAAAAGATACCTAATATTGAGCAAAGCGGTAGTGCAGACTGCAGAATCGTGCACTCGTGCTACAATGCTACATCTTGTCTAAATTTTTAAAGATTATTTTAGCGGTATTTTCATTTTTCAATAATCTTATCAATATTTATATCCAACAACTTTACTTGTATTGTGCTTGTATGAAATCCATGGATACAATTCAACCACATTTAACCACACAACCACGTTTTCAACATTTAAATTTGTGGTCACTGTATAATGTTTTTCCTCCATGACTTGCGGTAGCGCTAACCTTAAAAAGTGCGGGTGTTGAATACATTTCCCAGTTACATTATACAATATTGTTTGAAAACCTCAACCGAACATGTGCGTGTATCATGTCTCTTTTTGCGGACAACTGTAGTGTTCGTTGATTCAATTTTTTATTTTAATACAATTAATTCGTTTTGTATGGTTTTTAAGAGTTGATGGTCCAAGACAACATCAAAAATGTTGGTTCTATTCGAAACCTCTGCTGGATACGCTATATTTAAGGTATATTTGAATTTCAGAAGCATTAATTTTCATCACCACGTTTGCCTTCAAATGTCAATAATAATACGTGTTACTTTTCGTGTTTCAGTTGCTGGACGAAAACAAACTGAAAAATGTCAGCGATCTCTACAGCCACTTCGAGTCGCCAGAAGCAACGACTAAAATGTAACTAATTGTTTTTGATTATTTTTTGTTTTAATATAAATGTCACAAGGATAATAAATAGTTAAATATTAATATCAACATGAGAATAAGTGCAGTTAACCAAATACATTTTTTTTTAATTGATAGTTTTTAAATAGAATTCAAAATTATAAGTAGAAATTGCCTTTTTGAACTGTCTAGTTAAGTATTTAAGATGTTGTATGGCGATTGATTAATCAATTTTCTAATAATCTCTGTGCCAGTAAATTTTGGTTACTGTTCAATTATTCATTGAATTTACCAACTTTTGTCCCGCATCTGAATTTGATTTTAAGAATAATAGACTGTGTTTTAACTTTGAAATATGGTCAGCACATTCAAAATAATATAAATCAAACAATCTATATTTCTGTTATGTTCTTTACCATGGTAATGTTAAGCATCAGATTGAATATAAAAAATGTTCTCTCTGAAAGAGTTTATTATAATATAATTATTTCCATTACAGATCATATTCTTGAACATTTAACAGATAAATAAATATGATATAGATTCATGTATGAATTGTAAATACTTAGGTTTCTTGAATTTTTTTATGTAGGAAATGTTTATAAACATGAAGTAGGTATAATTTTAACCAACACTAGTTGCTTAATTATACTATTTATGTAGGTTCATATAAAAACTTAATTATTTATTACAATCTTTAAAATTATTTGTTTACAGTATAAAGTTAAAACATTTTCAAAAATTTGATGACACTACAGAAGCATTAGCGTCAGCTGCTTCCTTAATTGAAGGGAAATTATGCAAATCTTTGAAAAAAGTATGTAATTTTTAAAATAAATTCTATTTATT